ACCATTCAACAAAACAGCGCGGTATAGAAGTATGTTGAAGGTAAAAAAAAAATAAAAATTCAAAATAATATGATAGTTGATTCAAATTTCTTCGTAATTAAATGATACAATTCTATTTTTATTAACCTTAGGCGAAACGTAAGCGATTACGGGTGAAGAAGACACCATAAATACCAATTTAAACATTAAAGAAATAAAATAGCAAATATGCATATCATGCGTAAATTCGTAAATTTATCTGCACCAATTACATGTTGCCACCGAAGTTGTTTTAAATCATATAAATTCCTATAAATATGGGATGAGTTTTTTTTTTCTTAGTCTTAAAACCTGAAAACATGGAAATTTTTAAAATCATAAAAAAAAATATATTACCGATTTTTTTGTTGGTTGTATTAGTGTTTGCACCGTTTTTGGGTATCCTTTTTAAAATCACGTAGAGTGAAATCTTAGATAAAAAAAAAAAAAAAAGATTTAATTTTTATAAATATATATATTTTGTTATAAAAAACAAAAATAAATTTTTTTATGAACAGTCGTTTCTTCGATTGAAACTAGATGTCGAAAATTCGATTAATAGCATTTTTTTTTACATACATATATTGTTATTACGTCATCCTTAACAGTTAATAAAATTTTTAAGTGCATGGTAAAGAAGAGCCACCAACAATACAACCGCAACCCGATACCGTAGAGATCACTGGTGAATTCACAGACAACCCGTTTAGCCGTAGGTATTCAAATATATTTATATTATTAATTTTTGTTATTTCTTCTTTTAATGCTCTTTTTTGTTGTGTAGAGGTCATAAATGGTCAAAAGAACACTGTAAAACTAACTTTTGACAATAAGGGCAAAACAAACTATACTATCAATGTCATCGCTGGAGCTCTGGTTAATAAAGACAATCCAAATGAAATCTATCGTAACGTAAGTATCATTCACACTCTCTGTAACATATTAACTTTTTTTATCATTTTTAAATAACTTTTATGTGTTAAATAATAGTTAACCTCTGTCAGATACTCCCTCAAAGCACCTGCTATGGATCACGTTGAATTTCCATATTATTTTTATTCTGAATTTCCAACACAGGAATTTGATATCGTTTTATTTGTCTTCTTTTCTGATGAAGTAAGTAATTATTTCTCATTTTATTACAAGGTTTAATTACATTTACTGACTTGCATTTATTTGATAGGAAAAACAACAGTTTAGAGGTGTTGGATTTAATGGAACGGTCACTATCGTCGATCCTGAACATTCAATATTTGATCTCCAGCTGTAAGTGTTTATTTAGTATACGTTTGATTCATATTACATTTAATATTAATTTATTATGATTATCTTGGAAATACGGATTAGTATTTTCTTGTACATTTTGCTTTTTGGCATGATTTCAGGTATAGGATACATGACTTACCACGCATTC